GTTGAGGATGTCTGGCGCGGGAGCACGATTTTTGAAAATCAGCAGCGCGACCAAACCGGTTACGACCCCCCCTACCAAGCCTACTTTAAAGGCGATGTTCTATATTTCTTGATCGATTTTTGAAAAAAAAACGCCGATTTCTTGAGGATGTCTCGAGCGAGAGCGTGATTTTTAAGTGAGCATAGTTGCACGACGGAAGAGCACGCTGCGGGTGCCGGGCAACGCACATCAAAAACTCGAACCCCACAATGAGTGTGGGGAAAAATGGGGGCCCCGTAATGTTCCACTCTCAAAAAGAACCCATCTCGTGATCTCAATGGGTCCTTGCTTTTACCTTTAATTGACGCTATGCAGTCCAGGACAAAAGGATGCGCTGCCTGTTGGCACACTTGGCTCACATGGTGCAGGAAATCCGAAGACGTTTGCTAAGTCTTCCAAGCTGCAAGTATTGCTGATGGCGGAAAGCTGCACCTGGAGTCATCTGAAGCATAAGGATGCAGCCGAGGGCTGGATTGTCAAACAATGTAAGACATTTGTACACGCCAAGCCTCCGAAAAAGCACGTCAGCAACCATCAATAGTCAGTGGAAAGTATCGGCCGCAGCTTCATGCTTCCACAACCTGAAACGCATCCCAAGATGACATATCCTCCATGCGAACCCACTTTGGCCTCCAAGCTCATCCCACCGGCAGGAGTAGCCCCTCCGAGCACGAAGGTTGCCCCGGATCATCTTGCTGCAAAACAGGACTTGATAGCCAGCGATAGTCGACACTTATCGTACTCGAATTGAGCCAAAGAGAATGCCGGACGATGCTAAGAGACACAGTCGTCGAGCGGCAGCTGCATAGCTTGAAGCCTTCAAGGAACCCCCATCATGGAAAGCATGGCAACGACAAAGCCAGCACACCTGTCCAGCAAATCTGTCAAACAAAAACAAATGTTGTGATCAGCAGCTCTCATGTAATCTTCGTTCATGAATGCTCCGTCTTTCATAATTCATGAGGACAGCACATCCTCTGAGAGCTAAACATGTGAGACTGTGCCTACCTGTCTCACAGCTCGAGAGACAGGGACACGAGCTCGAGGACACGTGATATCGTGGCAAACTACTGCTAAAGGAGCCTTGCCTGCTGAGTTGGCCACAGCCCCTGGGCTGCAAACAGACGTTCCGAAGGAGTCATCAATGGTTTTCTTCCCTCAGGCTGCCTTGCGAAGGAGGTCTCCATTAGTAGCTTCTGCGCATATCAAGAAATGGCAGACAGATCTTGCTGTCTGCCAATTCTTGGCAGAAACTTCGAGCAGTTCGTCTAACCACCCACAGCGAGCCGTGTCATCTGTAGTGATGCACACCCGTGGGCATGAAACAGCTACCGAATCATGACAGGAGCCGCATGGAGCCGCAAGCGCCGCAAGCGCTACAAACCCTTCCTCCCTCACTCCTCCTTCATCCTCCTACAAAAGTCCGCATGTAGGGCTTCGTGGGCTCGCCGGGGATTCAGATTTCCAAACAGTGGTCCTACAACCGGATTACATCACAAGGCACACAAGGCAGAGTGTGGAAAGGACCAAGGTTGTTATGCTTCTAGAACAGACTTCCAGCGAGCAACGCCAAGCCACCGCCTGTACCAAAGAATTGCTCAGGCCTTTGCTCGCAACCTTGCTCGGCTGCAGACTGATTCTTCCTCAGTCCCATCCTGGCCCTGGACTTGATCTGAGGTGGCACAACATGGCAAAGCTCCAGCACTATTCGTCAAGCCCATCTCTTGATCATATGGGCTGGCACAGTCTGCCACACCTCGATCCTCAGAATGAGTTTACTCATTGCATGGTTGAACGGAAGAACATGCACATTTCAGCACATCACCTTTTCTCTCTTTGCAGCTCAGTCAGAAACACCGAATCAATAAGGTCCTGCATGTTGTGAACAACTATGAGACCTGGCATCTTCATTGAGGGAGGAGTCTGGCTTAAAGCCAGAGGATGCCAGAAAAAACATTAACACTCCGGGGAGCTTGGATGATTTCAGACGATGGATATAGAGCTGACAAAACCTGTAAAGACTGCGAAGATGAATTACGCATCTGAAGGCAAACATCCACAAACACCCCAGAAAAACGCCTTGAGACAGAGGGACATCTCTCGTGACGGCTGAATGCAGCCGAGTGGATGGCCCCGTCTGGAGTCACGGCCAGTGAGCATCAACCAAAGGAATGACAAACCGTTCTCTGAGAATGCGGATGTCATGTGATTCCGTACAGAAAAAAGGGTCTTGGTTGTCCTGCTGCTGCTTGCCGTGCCGGTGCTGCACTTGCAGCGATTGAGTTTACCGACCCAAGCAGTAAGGGAACAGGCATTCACTCCTATGCAAACTTAATGCCCAATGCACCATATTGCTTAGTGTGCAAAACAAGCACACCCACAATCATATGGCAGTAGCTGCAAAGGTTCCAAGCAGCTTCCTCTAGTTGGAGCGATTGCCTGAGCCTGGGTTGTGCATAATATCGTTGCTTGGTGACAGCTTGCCGTCCATTCAGCCCTACCACTTGCTACCCGATGCACTTGTGGACTTTGGCAAGACCAAGCTTCGAATAACAATGCTGCCGGATGCCTCCCGCGCCCGAACCAGCGGCACAAACATAAATTTGCACGCATTAGAGCATGGCAACACTTCGGGGCTTCGATGATGCATCCAGCGCAGAATTTGAGCCCTCACTCTTTATGCATTGGCCAGACCTGCAGGGCAGTCTGTCATTGCGCACTTTGAGAGGATTGACATTTTTCTCCAATGTCTTCTCGCGGCGAGATTTCCCTGACGTCCTAGGGCTCCATATTCTTGTTCATGCTGCTCGTAGAAATAAATATGATATGTGGAATAGCATAGGAACTATAATATCTCTAATTGGAATTCGGAATTTCTCGTGCTCCTGCGAAATGCCTGCTTTGAAGCAGGTTGGCCCCCAAAAAGTCTTCCAATGAGAGTTGCCCCTGATAATGAAAAATATTCTGGGCCGTGAGTGCGTGTTATTACTTACGGGGGATGCATTTAGCTTGGGCAAGCTATGGAAACGCAAGCAATCCTCTAGATTTCGCAGCCAGCCCATTCCTTGCAGGCCTATTGACCATGCTGAAATGGTTATGTGCAAAGGTATGGTTGCGGCCGGCGTATTGCCTGGGGTTGAGTCTTACTTGTATGACATGTTAAATGCCTGTAACGTGTTCGGCTCAAAGTGCGGGCGGTTTACCTCAGCGTTCCTTCACCATCTTACCCAGGCGTGCCATGAATGTGTTCGCATGCGCTGCTCTTCACAACGCGCACACAGCATCGCGATTCAGCTGTACAGATCAAGATGGTCAAGACTGGAGACTGGGGAGTATCTCTTCAGCGCACGCCGCTGCTTTTTGGTAACCACATGGTAACTAGACTGAGGAGTTCGGACACCCGGCGCTTGTTGATTAACCACCCGGTCAAGCGAACGCCCGCCGACGTGTGCATGGTTCAATTGATCAACAGAACGGGCATACGCTGGTATTTCCTTTGCAGGCTGTGCGAATCAAGACTGCGCATGACTGCGCTATAGTTTTGCATGTTTTAACTCCGCTCTTCGGGACAACAATGACCGGGAAATCAAGTCACGATCTCTCTGCCGTCCTGCCTGCAAAGGCTCCATTATCCTGATGATTCGGACTCAGGTGATTAGAGACACACAAACACACACCCCACAGTCAGAGGCGCCTTGTCGGCCAACCTCATCCTTAGCTGATTTTTCCCCATCACACAGAATAGCAGTAGACCTGTGGGGGTGTTAGGGGGGAAAGGCAGGTCAAGACTGTGACTAAGCATGAATGGCGGCGCTCCAGGCCAAACTATCCAACTGTTGTAAGCTGTTTGGCAAATACAACACCTGAAGAATAAATATATATATATATACATGCAAATGTAGAGCAACCAAACGCGGCGAGACCTGAGGAAACACAAACAGAGCGCAACTAGTTAGTTCTCCTGCTATCCCGAGTGATCGCCCCATGCACCTAACCACGCCAACCACTGCAAGGGGTCCAACATTAATCTAGGCAGTCTGCTGCGCATAGGGTGACATACTTCCTGATGCCAACTAAGCAAAGCAGTTTACAACCTGCTAAGTCAGGCTTCAGCACTTGAAGACCAAGCCCGTAAGAAATGTAAAATAGAATGCTAGAATGGTCCCAAAACAGCACTGAAGAGTACATTGATTCATTATTGTTCTGGGCATTACCCAGCCCCGAAACCGAAACAAGGCATTACCCAGCCGCGGAAACCGAAACATCGTCCAAGCAGAATCTTATTACAACCTTCAAATCATGAGTGCACGCCATGAGAAGACCAGACAAAGATTCTCAAGGATGACCTGCGCGTTGATACGCCGCGAATCTTGCAGCCGAGAATCTAGAGGGCGGTCGGGCTTGACGAAGACGCTGCGAGGAGCGCTCCACTTTGAATCGTGCAAGGCTATCGACATTACCCCATTCTTGGCCACGAGACTGACACTTGGAGCTTGGACTGCGCTGCTGTTGCGATGGGGCAATGCTCCAAACATGTTTGCTTGCACAGCAAACTATGACAATGAAGGCCTCATGACCTTGTCGTCATAGTTCTACGATGTTCTACGACAATTCCGAAGCTGCAGTGGGATGCCGGGAAAAACACCCTGCAAAACTCTCGAACCCCTTGCGCCGCCGCCGCTCTGGTTTTACGAACAGATCAGGACGTCAAGTGTGACTGATATCACTGATGCCTCTTACATGTTCCTTCGTATGACCAGTGCGTTGTAGGCTGCGGGACCATCTGCAGCCGGCTCACCCCAAGGCCATGGCACCTGTGAGAATAGGCACAACATGCAATTCTCATCACAGGGTGAGGCATCTTGACTTGTCTTTCAACAACTTCTATAGACAGCAGCAAGTTCCGCAGAGTCATCTCGATGTTCGTTACATTTTGCTTCGGAGTGCGACCTCGTCTCTCCTCAGCACTTGCGCCTGAGACCGGCAAGGGTCTGCACAATACACCCATGCACATGCAGCGATTGCAAAGGCCCGCAAAGGCCCGAGCGACACAAGCCGGCGCTGTGAATTTCCCTTTGCCGGTGTTGCAACCTGTGCACTATGCTCTTGCCCAGCGAAATCCCCCTGCCACCGCAGTCTTTGAAATCTGCAGCTGGGCAGGTTCGTGGTGCTCTTTTCTTTCAACAACCTTTCACTTGAACATTGCGCCTAGCCTACTCGGCTATACTCATGCTAGCGTGCTCTGCAGTGGAATGTGATGGACTACGGTTGTTCAAAGAGACGCCCTTACCACAAAAAACATCTTCAAGCTTGGCTGCCTGGGGCCGAACGACGTTGAAGCCAGCGCAACGCAGGTGCTGCAAGCATTCTTCTCCACCTCGCTTTCGCAGAAAAAGCATAAACACCAGCTGAGCGTCACGCTCCGGTTCATAGCGTTGCCTTGCTGGTTCCACGCCCGTCGCCTTGGTTACTTCAGGTCTCCCTTGCTGCCTCCACAAAGCGGCGCGAATCCCTCTATAAGCTCCCGACTTCATGAGAGTATGCAAGGCGTTCTGCACCACCTCTGTCTCCACCAATGGCTTCCTGCAAAGCAAACGGGCACTGCCCATCAGAGAAAGTCCGCCCCGTGTTAGTGATTAACCTTCATGGCTCGTGGGCACCGGCTCCCAATTTGTTCCAAACAGTAGTCGCTAGCCGACCCAAACGTTATCACGACTCATGAACATCTTCCCCCCAAGAATACCTTTTCACAAGGATCCGCTGAAGGGGAACAATAATCATACTAATTGGCAGTTCAGTAAGCACGACTACAGCGTCGCCACCTCGACGAAGCATAATTTCAAAGCAACACGATTATGAGTTGTTGTTGTTCTAGAGTGCCGTGTAACCTAACTTCCCACACACTCACGGACACGGACTGCCACAGTCTGGTTCACATGACAGCTTTCAGCATGCATAATTAATACTCCTCATCTTGATGGAGTACAGCATCTACAAATGCGGCAGTGGAGGTCTGTGCTCCTTGCTGTAGCGTCTCCTGAAGATCCTTCAAGTGTACGTTTCTGTAAAGAAGCAGCCCAAAGCTTCGTCGAATACCAAGTGAGGCTCCATAAACCTTGTGAGCTGGCTGCAATATAGGGGTGCCTACGCGAGCGGCACAAAAAATGCTTGCTCCTTTGGCCACGACATTCCAGATTGGTCCACATCGCTTCAAGGCTCTTACGTACTTTTCAGATAAACCAAGTTGGGCTACCCTCTTGTGGTTGACCCCTATCATGTCTCTGCAAAACAACTGAAGAGAGCACAAAAGTCATGTCAACTTCGGACTTCATTATGGCTCATCCGTCAAGACTTTTTGACTTCATGCAAAGGCTTCATCTACACTCGTGCTTCTCATTGGTCTCCCGGCCTCTGCCTCATGCTTTGCTCAGCCACCTGACGCAGCCCAGGCAGGCTTCCAAAGTGGAAAGGCTCATTCGATGCATGATATTGCACAATGAAGAGAATTGCACGCATGTCACAGTTAAACTCAATGCCTGCAAGCTGTTAGTCTAACCTTGCTTGCCGAGGCTTTAGGGCAGTTCCGGTCGTTGCTCAAGCGCGTGACACTTCTCACAGCATGGCAGCATGTCGAAAATCTTCATGATGTGCCATCCCAACACTTAGGCCCCGTGCTCGCATGTGCTCGCATTGGCAAATGAAACACGACATGCCTACTGCCTCTACACGGACCAGGGCACATCGTACCAGCCCAGGAATCCTAAGCCCTGCGGCTTCTCGCGGCAAGTTTCTTCTCTTGACAAAACGGATCAGCACAAACATAACACGAGCTATCTCGAGTAAAATGGTCCCTGCATCCCGAGAAACAAAGTTTCGTGCTGAGGTGAGCGATGCTATGGTGGGCAAGCGATGGAAAGCAACTATGAGGTGCATGTCTCTTCGGGCCTGAAGCAATCACGTGCATGACCTAAGCCTGAATACCTTTCATTGAGAGTCGGTAAGGCTTAAAACTGTGCGACATTCGTACTGAAAGTAAGCAGTGGCAGAATTTGAATGAAACTGGATAATTAACTTTGGCTCCACACGAACAGTTCCTTGTCGCAGCATGTCTGCCTCCCACAGCAGTGTACTAATGTGCTCGCACTGCCCGAATCGCGTTGCCTGACAATCAGCGGTGGAGCAAAATTTCACGAACTTTCAATTGCGCTTCGACATCGCTCCAAGCTGCAGGCTCCGCGCAGGAGGGTCAGGAAGGTTTTCTCATCCGCCGTCTGCCCATCCTAGCAATCATTCAGACTTGGTTCTGAGTTCTGCGTTTGTGGACTGTTTGTGGAAACCCACCTGAAGCATCCGCTCTCTGAGACCCATTGCCAGGTCCATTCTTCCGTTCCTTAAGCACTTGAACATGCTTTGGAGATCATGGGAACTCTTCGCTCCGTCGGCTTCCTGTCGTGGTCGCTTCGAAGTTAATTGAAATGTGAATTTTGGACAAGTCTCCATGTGCAGGAAGACATAAGCGTGGTGTATACCTGGCGAGAGGCACGCCATGGCACGCCCGCAACTGCCAGCGCCTTCAATGCGCGCTGCGCAAGCAATAATATGCGTCAGAGTTTCAGCAGTGTTGGGCCGGAATCCGAACTTTTGCGGCATTTCATCTAGGACCTGCAGGTCTTACTTCGGTGCTCAAGACTTGCCCCTATATTCGCCTCCCACCTTGAAGGCAGCATCCAGGTCTGAGATGCGTCCATACAACTTGATGAGGATGGAAGCCTTTTTGACAATAGCTGATCGCATACCCGCTGCCAGAGGGGAATGATATAAACACATCGACTTACTGGCTAGCGTCACAAAGCGACTGAGAAACGATTACTCCATGACCTGAACTTCCACGAAAGCACTTGATCCGCCCTCTTAGACCCTGACGGAGTAATTGCTTGGCTGCACACCAGCAGCGACCATATCCTCAATCACCTGACAGGGTCAATATGCCGCTAGGGAAATCCGGCTGTGCCATCTACTCGCAAGGCAGGAATGATGCTTCTCGTTAGAGGCGTATCATGGCGTAGCAGGAAGCCTGCTCACAAAGCATTGGCATTTCTTTCCGAGCACAGCCGTCGAGGAGGCTGTTGAATACAATGGCATCCGGCTTAATGCCTCCAGGTCGAAGGCAGCTGGCAGAATTGGGTAACGTCAACGTGGAACATGCGGATGCACAAGGTTGCCTTTTCGGCGCATTGCGCCAAAGAGCTCCAGGGCATCATCCAGGTCTCCCTGCACGCAGTAGCCTTTGCGCAGGCACTACTGGAAGAGCTTGAGATAGACGACACCTGTGCCCTTAAGCCTCCGAAGGCCTTCTAATTCTAAGAGCCGGTCCCTTGATCAGCGTGCTGTAGGAGATGAGGTCTGGCTGGAGATCAAATTTGGCCTCGCGTGCAAATCCTACGGCAGTCCAGGATTTTCCGCCAATCTGCAACTGCCGCTTGCAGGGGGGTTTTAGGGGGGTTTTAGGGGGGTTTTAGGGGGGGTTTTAGGGGGGTTTTAGGGGGGTTTTAGGGGGTTTTAGGGGGTTTTAGGGCCGCGAATCCTGAAAATCGCGAATCCAGGAATCCCCAAGAAGGCCCCATACAAGGGGCACCAGCCATAACAAAGGACTCCCCTTCCCGAGGCTTCCTAGTGTCCCATATGATCTCTCAACATGGGACGCCCAATAGAAAGGAGTCCCCACAAACCTTCCCTAAAACTGCCAGAAGTTGAGGCATGAACCATGTCTTGCAACAGCGCAGCTGCTCGCTTCATGTCCCCAGCTCTGCAGCAAGCATCCACCAAAGTGTTCAGCACCACCAGGCCCACGGAAACTCCCAGGGCCTTGAAGTCACTTGCACTTGCAGGATCTTGCAGGTGTCGACCCGCATGGCACGACATGGCCTTCATCTCTTCGTAGCATTCCAGTGCTCGAGCAGCGTCCTGCCAATGCCGTGGTAAACCCGCTTAAAGGCTCGCTCTTTGCTTTGGGGTGAAAGCGCTGCCTTCTGCTGAGCGTAGCCGCGCACAATCATTGCATAGGCGATGGCAAAGCTGCTTGACCCCAGCCTTGCGATGCTAAGTCTTCCCGCTAAACCTTTTTTTGGTTCCTGAGATTCCGAAGTTGTCATATTCTCCACGCTCCGCGGTACCATAAGACTTTACAGTGCCGGGACCCTTCGTGGAAATCAGAAACTCCCAGTCGAACTCTTCAAAGCAGAGTGCTTTCTGACCCTAGATTCGGCTGAAACCAGAGCCTGGACATGAAAGAACATGCCGGCGTCTTGCTGTCTTCCAGTGCGGACAACTACACTTCCGAATTTAGGATCTGTCGAGGGCAAGGAAGGAACTTAATCCAAACTATGTTATTTATGGCTTGACTCACCTGAAACCACTAGTTCCGAAAGCTGCGAGGACAGCTCAAAATCAGGCAATAATTTACCAGGTTCCAACGCTCTCTTTTCGTACTCTCCTGCAGTACCTTGTTTCCGTGAACTTGCAAACCAGAAGAACGCGGGCCTCGAGCTGTGGACTTCACGCATTTTGCCGAAGAGCTGAAGCGCACGAGTCAGGTTTCCACCTGGCAAAGTGAAGTCCTCACCGATTTGGCCTTGAAGGCGTGGCAAAGGATTCTGATAAGAATGTTTCTGCCGGCTGCACGTGTGATCAGGACGTCGATCATTTGTGCGTAGACATGCTCACTGGGCTCCATTCCCTGCACAAAGCAGGCCGAATTTAGTCTACGGGCTTGGGGCTTGGGGGCTTAAGAGCTGATTCGCGCTTGCTGATTCTTTCAGGGCAGACACTGGAGGTCCTAGCAGCCGAGCCTGCACCTTGGTGATGTAGTCCCATAGCTCGCACGCCCTCTCCGTCTGCCCGGCGGAGCCGTAGGCCTGTAGCGAATGTGGAAGATGAGAGTTTGCCTAAAAGCAAACATCAATCAATCGATGGTCCTTGATTAGAGCTGCATAGGTGTTGGAGCTGCATCGCTTCGGCAAATCCCAGCCATGCCTGACATGCTCGAAAAGTATGGACAGGTCTGCTGCTTCAACGAAGCATGGGATGACCATGATTCTGGCTTGATGTCCTGCCAGCCCGGCTACACAGGATGACAAATCCACGCCTCTTTAGCATTGCTAAAGTACTCTGAAGACGCTTTGTGTCGCGCAGCGACACGCAGGCCTAGCAACAGAACTGCCCAAACCGCTGCATATTCCGGCAGGAGTTATCTCCATTTCATGTCCTCCAAGATGATGTTGACAAGCACCTCATCCAGCTTGATGCCGTTCCTCGCAGCAATTGTCTATAGCATTAGCTCTGAAGCATGTTTGGTGAACGTGGTTGAGGCCTCAAAAGCAATTCCTGAGCGCGATCAAGCTCAGCAGGAGCCAAACTTCGCGCAGATTTGCCACCCTTCCAGGTTAGAGAGCTGTTGCTGGCAAAAGATACCACAGCAGAACCTTCAAGATAATGCTCACGGTATAGGCATCGATGCCAGGTCCATTTCCTCAGGCCGAGTTCGAGTTGTGGAAGCACGTTGAAGCATGAAGCTACCATGGAAGCGGTCTGCACGCTTGATGACTTTTTAGGGGCTTGACGCTCTAAGCCTTCAACTGTTCGCCAAGCGGCGTCCTCAAAGCACAACATCAGCCCCCAGCTTTTCCAGGCTCTCTTGTTCGTTTACGCTAAGGCCGCTAAGGTGGCCAGTCAGGCGCTGGCCACATCTCCGTGTGCGAGGGCGCCACCTTCCCATGCCAAAGTAAAACATGTGGAAGTAGTGGGTATGCCAAGCCCAGCCGGCCCGCTGAGATCGACTGAGGCCATTGCTGATAATGGAATTGTATGTCGCTGTGTTCGGGCGGTGACCCGACTCCAGCATGTCCTGGCCCCGATCAGCACATCTCTATTACCTTCAAAAAATCTGAATCATTCCGTGCGATTCCATGAGTCACAACCTTGAAGATTGCCACTCTGCCCTGCTGAATACTAAACTGCATAACACATCAAATTCAACAGCTTGCAGTGACGCCCTGGGCCGGACATGTGCAAAGGTGTAGCTGGCTGAGATGACCCAAGGATGTTCAATAACTCTTGTCAAGAAGTTATGAGCTATTTTACTATGTTGATCAAAGCCCCAGCCTCAAGGAACGCATGCGCTTCCTGCATCGAGAAGCCTGCGCTAGCATGGCATAGTCACAGAACAGATACAACAGGAGAGCAAGTTGGGCAATCATAGCCTGCCAGCAACTGTAGTTGATCCAAATTCACTCAGCACTTTCTTGACGAAGCTGCATTTGCACATGCCTCTCTGGCCCACGTAAAGCTTGAGCATGATGTTGTAAGACACAACATCTGCACCTTCAAGAACTCGCAAATCATGCAAATAGAAGGGTATGCAGGAAGGTTGTTACTAAGCTTTGGGCCCTGGTTTCGCTTCATCTCATCAAAGAGCTTCTCCGCCTCGATATCAAGTGTCAACAAGTACCCACACTATCCACATCCTAAACATGTCTCTTCAGCTGAGGCTTACAGCTTAAGGCTGCGCTTGCAAGTCATCCAGTGCAGGGTTGTAACCAGAAGCAGGAGTATCCTTTTTAATCCAGACTGAACTGAGGCGGTCACGGTGTCAGCGTTTCCTGCCGCTACAGCCGCGTCAAGATCTGCATTGCTTGCCACCTGGTAGACATGGCCAGCTAGGCTGCAGCCGCATGTGCATAATGTGCATCTGGTGCACATTCGTCGTTTTTGCTAGAATATCAGACACCAACCTTGACAGGAGGTTCTGGCGTGGTTTTGACGGCTTTCTCCTCTGGCCTCGACACTCAAGGACTACTCATGCCAGACTGAGCAACAGTCAGAATTGAATCTGCATGGCCCAAGCTGCCCTATCTCACAAATCTGGAGGCCACGTCATTAGGGCACCAACTCCGAAGGCTTGCCTCCAGCCTATGGCGTCGGGCTGCGTGGAGGGCTTCAATCAAACTGCATATTGCCTTCAACGTGCCACAAATCACCTGTCAACAAGCGCGCGCACAAGCATGTCGCAGGCCCCATAATTCAAGATGAAGGAATGCTGGACAACCCCGACATGAGATTGGGAGAAGATGTGTAGCCTAATTTGCCTCGTTAGCCATGTCTCGGGCGAGCCCATCATCGGTCAAACCCCATGCTTCTGTTTGGGCCAGTTCATGGCAGGATATGGCAGGGCTCTCCGTTTTTTCCGACAGCTTCTTGTAATTGTAATGGAGCCCGACCATGGGTCAGGTCACAGCTGAGGCCGTAGCAACAGTAACAAGAGTAGCGAATGCAAAAGTAGTCACGATAGCAGCGGCGAACAACCCCAAAACTTGGACGAACATCAGAACACGTAGGTGCTCGCTACAAAAGTGTTGATAAGAACCACCAGGCATGTTGCTTGCCTGTGAAAATGGCCGGAGGGTTGGTAGCGGGGCAGCCCCCTGCCCCACGTGCAAAACATGATGAAGAATGAAGATGAGAGCATGTGCTTCTCAATAAGTATTGACATGCTTTGTCAAGCATTTGAGTAGCTGAGGGGCCTAGTGCCCGCATGTGCCCTCGAAATTGCAAATAATGGGCAACACTGAGACATGTAGGCTCTTGCAAAGTCCTAATAAGGCTCGCCAAGCATCGCGTCTGTTTTTGAATTACTTCTGGAATTAGGGGGGATTGCAGCCCCTCAAATCCTCCCACTCAATTTGCAAGTCATGAACAAAGACGACAAGAAGTGGTTTACGCTGCTATGTTTTGAAGGATTTGCCATTCTGACCATGTCTTCCACAACTGCTCGGGTTCGGATGGTTCGGTTAGCACGTTTTGCCACGGCTTTGTTTGCCCTCTCGTTTTGTCACCAACTTGAGTTGGTCGGGCAAGTTTGGCCACTTGCTCAGCGCATGTCTTCTGCTGCCAGGCTGTACCGCTTGTGGCTTGATGGAATGTGCACGGGGCAAGTGAGTAAACAGACCTTCAAGACTGTGCGGAGTTCAGAGCGGGGCCCGCGGGGCCTGATCCTCCTCTGGCTCGCTGGCAAGATCTGCAGTCGAGGAGCCATCTGACAAGCTCAGAATGCGTGAGCTGGATTTGAAAGCATGAGCATGCTGCATGCTCACTTTCATGCGTAGAACACTTCCAAAACGAGCCTCAGAGGTGCATGCCTAACTAGCTTATCAATGCTGATATCGTGATTATATAGCCCACCTCACTGCCTTATCGATCAACACCTGTAGCTTTCCCTTAACGTGGATTATCCCCGCTGAAGTGTGACTTACGCAACACCAATCACGTGCACGGCTGTGTAATGAGGAGCCTTCATTTGCTCAGTTGCAAATTTGCCATGGCCTGAGTTTGTGTGAGACGTTGAGCAAACTGCGCCTGTGGTAGACGCCACCATGGGGCTGTCGGCACCAACTGCCTGTAGCAGAACATCATCGAAGGCCAATGCAGGAGGCAGGGTCATTGCGCATATCTGCACATGCAACAACGCATGCGAAGAGATATCAAAAGGCTCTCTGGCCTGCTCAGACCAAGCCGCGGAGTTCCTGAGAATGCAAAGTTGGTCTAACGCTTTTGAATTTTGCGTTCAGCCTCGGGCATCCAGTTTTGTCATTTGCGTGCTTATGTTGCCTGCGTGTGGTGTTGATGCGGTTTGGCCAGTGTTCAATTGGTGACTTTCTGTCGCATCAGCACAAGCTTCAGAACTGCCATCGACCTCCTGCAGGCCCCTATCTTGAGTCTGTGACCACTTAGGCCTCAAGCCTCCTTGTGCCAAACTGAAACCTGCGGCAACAGCACCAAAATGACTCCTGCAATTGCAGTCCCTGCATTTCCTACAGCCAATTAGGAGCAACTGTCAGTGGGCCAAGTTTCATGTTGCTCCTTCTTGCTTTGGTTTT